AAATTTGTCGAGGGAAACCAAATTTCATTGACCTCAGGGTCACCGATGACGTCACAGGTCAGGTCAAAGATAAAATGTTTCACCGTTCACGGGTCTTCTAGGGAAAGCGCTATAACACCGAGTAAAACGCATTTTGTCGAAAATCAGCGATAGGGCGTCAGTTGTCTAGTACATATGTTGCTATTAGAGGTCACTGGTCATACCAGGTCAGGTCACAGGTCAGGTCACCAAGGGTCACCACATGAACCCAACTTTACTAAGGTTTTGCGATGTATATTTTATGGCCAATTTTTTATTTCCAACTCAATGGTGTTGGTTATAAGACCATCAGATACGGTTTAGGTCACTTTCTGGTGGGGGTCAGGTCAAGGTCAGGTCAAAAAAGGTCAAATTTCAAAGTTTTTATTTTTGCATAAAATGGGTATTGATTCGATGCAGCTCGTCACGGGGAGTCTAATGGTGGTCTTTTTTGCGCTACGAGGTCTAAGAATGGCTAAAAATTGAGTTTGAAAATTTGACGTCATCAATTTTGAACAGTTTTTTTCGGTATAACTTGGCCAAAAAAAGGAGGTATCGATCTCAAATTTGGTATGTAGATAGAAGGCGGTAGGGACTATCACATATATTCCGTTTTTTTCTGAAATTCAAAAAACTTTTTGGATTTTTCGGCTACTATATTCAAAAATCTATTTTTTATTTTGGGGGGTCAAAATCAAGAAATTTTAAAAATCCAAGATAGCAGTTTTGCAGGTCTTTAAATTCTACAACTATTAGGTATGTCTGAAACATTTTTTATGTATCTCTAAAGCTGTAGGCTTGACAGCTCTTCCCGCGAAACTTTTTTTTGTCGAAAATGGCAGAAATGACGTCACTCTGACGTCATTAGCGGCCAACCTATCATAGCCTTTGGATTTTTTTTTCACAATGTGCTGTGCAATAGCTATTCACGGGAGGGTACTGAAAGTTTGGTGACGATCGGCGCAGCGGTTCTGGAGATATATCGAAAAAAAACTAAAGGGGGGGGGGGGCAAAAAATGCCTTTCCCCCACCACCTGGAAGGTTAAGTGCCGCTATTTTGACTTGTTTACCCCTGTGACTTCATTTTTTACCTGACCTGAAAATGACCTCCGTAAAAATTGTAGACTTTGTCCGTCTGTATCCCATGCCATTTACCACTTGTTCCTATCTTGCTTCGTTCTCGAGATATCACGGGGAGCAGGTATCCGCCCCCCGTCGGTGTGAAGTTGGCGCGGAATGCGGATAACCGTTGGTGCGCGGGTTAAACCATGATATTTCGGACTAAAAGACTATCTCGCCACTCAAAGCAAAACTTCAGGCCGTCCGGAACCGAAAACCCATTGACGCGGCACGAATGCGTCGATGGCTACCAAAAGCTGCTGTCTGGCATATATAAAGCGAAAAATTGTGTCCACCTCTTACAACGCATTCTGATGTACGGTAATTAGAGCAGGGGCGCGGGAACTACTTTCAGAATGGGGGGGGGGGGGGGCACATCATAATAGAACTCAACCTAGGGTACCCCTAAACCTAGTTTTCTCGCCGGTTTTAGGCCACTTATTTTTCATGCCTTGGCTTTTTCATCAAAAAAGAAAATATTTGCAAAAGAGTGCGATATTCCGTCTTAAAGCTCTGGGGGCACCGCCCCCATGGTCCCAGAGCTGGGGGGGGGGGCAAACTGTCCCCACTGCCTCCCCCCCGCTTCCCACGCCTATGAATTAGAGGAAACAATGCGTTCAAAAAAACCGTAACAGTGATGCCAGTACCAACTTTGGTTGTGGGTGCCCAGAGCCCCTTGGGGGGGGGGGTGCCCAACTCAGCATTGGGGGACCCAAAGGTATACAAATCACCTTTGGCATTGACACCTATGGCACATATCCTTAACAATGGGATGTTTTCATCTTTAGGGCCACTTTCTTAAGGAGATATTTTGTCCGGTTTTCTTTTCCAAATGCTACATTCAATAGGTCGTTGGAAAGCTAAAAGTGTTAAGTTCCTCATAATAGGTGACATAAAGTACAAAGACAATGGTAAAATGGGCGGATGAGGAACATGATGAATACCTCAGGCTATAGTGTGTTTTCAAGCAAAAGGCTGGAGAGAAAGGGGTCAAAAATTGAGTTCTATCAAACTGGTATTTCAGTTTAAACCCTCGTTTTAAAGGTGGACTTATTCCTTTAATGTTTACAGCCCCTGAACATAACCATTGCAAAGGTCACTGGGGTCGGTTGAAACGGCCTGTGGCCCTTTTTCAACTGACCCTCAGAGAAGCGTTTCAATTGACCCCATCCGCTCCTGCCATCTCGCACGCGCCGTAAAGCACATGTCAAACGAGCTGGAGGGACGGCATCATGCTGAATGAGAGGCCAAATAAGGTGACATTCCGGAGCCAGGAGTTTTTCTTTCAGCACACATAAGTATATGAGATGTTTTCAGTGGGATGTTTTCATCTTTAGGGCCACTCTCTTAAGGAGATATTTTGTCCGGTTTTCTTTTCCAAATGCTACATTCAATAGGTCGTTGGAAAGCTAAAAGTGTTAACCTCATAATAGGTGACATAAAGTACAAAGACAATGGTAAAATGGGCGGATGAGGAACATGATGAATACTTTAAGGAATTGAATGCTGTAACTGAGCATGATTAAGATTATGGTGAAGTTAGATAAATATAGTAGTCTGATGCTCATGAGTAAGCTATATGAAATGTATATTTTAGAGAAGAGTTGTATAATATTTCGAGCACGGCTCGTCTTCAGATACATAGGCCGAATGATGAATATCTCAGGCTATAGTGTGTTTTCGAGCAAAAGGCTGGAGAGAAAGGGGTCAAAAATTGAGTTCTATCAAACTGGTATTTCAGTTTAAACCCTCGTTTTAAAGGTGGACTAATTCCTTCAATGTTTACAGCCCCTGAACATAACCATTGCAAAGGTCACTGGGGTCGGTTGAAACGGCCTTTTTCAACTGACCCTCAGAGAAGCGTTTCAATTGACCCCATCCGCTCCTGCCATCTCGCACGCGCCGTAAAGCACATGTCAAACGAGCTGGAGGGACGGCATCATGCTGAATGAGAGGCCAAATAAGGTGACATTCCGGAGCCAGGAGTTTTTTCTTTCAGCACACTTAACCCTATTCCTGGCGGGGGGGGCCTCAGGAGCCCCCCCTGAGGTTTTTTGGTTATTTCTCCCAAACGCGTTGAGCTAGGAAGCTCAAATTTTCTGACTTTTCCTAAAAGGCTTCTACGCAACATGTCTGAAAATTTTGAGTTGATCTGACCTCAGGTCAGGTCACCAGAGGCGGTTTGGTGACCCTACCTCAGAAAAGTTTGCAATCACGCCAGAGCTAGAGTTTTTGACCGATCAATTTCTTCTCTTCAGGCTTTAGTTAGGGTACCAGTATGTGCAATTTATATATCTCGGAATTTTGATTCAGTTTCGCGACCTCCCCATTATAAGTCAATGGGGGAAAAATCAACTCCCTGTTTTTACCACTAAAACGTGTCGGAATGGCCCCATATACCATACATGACTTCATATACGATCAACCTTCACTACCTTGAGGTCTGTTTTGCTGTTGGGCAGCTGTGAGGTCATGTGACGTCATCAAAGGTCACCAAAGGTTTTTGGCCAATAACTCCGTACAGGAACAAGATACAGACGCGTGGATGGTCTCATTGTGTTCAGCTCGTCAAGACGCATCGAATGATATACATGATGACCTCGAGGTCACGTGACCTGAGGTCAACCTTTGACCTTGACCTTTCGAGGTCAACATATATATATCATTCGATGCGGATTGACGAGAGGATCACGATGATGCCCTTAGTTTGTTCCTATCTTGACTAATTCGAAAGTTATTCGAGAAAAACTCTCTTCATATCTAGCGCCGCCATTTTGACTTTTTCGACCCCTGTGACGTCATCTTTGACCTGACCTGAAAATGACCTTTGTAAAAATTGTGAATCTTGTCCATGCGTATCCGATGCCGTTTACCGCTTGTCGCTATCTTGCTTCGTTCTCGAGATCTCAGGGGGGGGGGGCGAATCGGCCCCCCCCCCGCCAGTTTCTTGTCCCGGCGGAGCCCGCCAGGAATAGGGTTAAGTATATGAGATATCACAAAATATTCACACAAAAAAAACGATTTCTCCCAAACGCCCCTCAAAAACACAAAACCAAGTGCCAAATCAAAATTACCGTCCGTTCGCCGCCCAAACGCCGTTGACAAAGTAAGTGGTCAAACGCGCATACACAGTGGTGTCGGCAACGCCATCCGTTGCATACTGTTGAAATTAGAGCCATGTTTCATCTGACCCTGTGTTTCAACTGGCCCCGCTCTCCCCTACCTATACGAAACAGGAAGGTCGGATGTTGTTGAGTAAAGCCCAAGTCACAAATCTGACGCATTTGTAACACTTCACAACAATTATGTGACTATTAATTCGGTGTTTAAACTTTGAACCTCAATATTTGTATATATAATTATTTAAAATGGGGTTTGAATCAGCATTTAGGTAATTGCGTCTTCAAAATTATTATAAATTATTTATATCAAATTATTTATTGTTCGAGATAAGTCACGTGATGCTTCCAGTCTCCAGATTATGTGCTCAGGCAGCATCTTTTTCAACTTCAATTTTGAGCTTTTTGTGCCTTCTTTGGGGCCAAATGATGGGCGTTTTGAGACATACCATAAAACATTGAGCCTGCTAATGCCAAAATAAAATCATTTTTTTTTACGTTTTCAAACTAGGATGTCCTGGCTCAAACTTTGGCCACTTTACGTGTGAAGCTTATGGTGAAGGGAAAACTGGACGCCCGGCTGAAGGTCATTACTCGGGTAGCAAATCGTGTCCAGTGGGAGTCGAAAGTATCTCCAAATGTCGAAAGAAATGTGTCAGTATTATAAGAAACACCCTGTATGTTACTTGACGAATAAGTTTTTGAACGTAAACCTTGTGTCACGCTTACGATTGTTGTCCTCAGGCTGTGAGACCGAAGAGCGGCGTGTTCTGTTTCCTGATCACAGAAGCTCGCGAAACAACGGCGCTAGAGATGCCCGACCGCGAAAACACATTCGTACTGCGGGTGAGTGGACGCAGGGCAGGGCTGTGGAGTCCAGGGCTGCCGAGTCGATGGATTTTAGGTAACTTTGACACCGAGTTGAACTTCGGCTTCAAAAATTGACTCCGACTTCGACTCCAGCCCCGACTCCGGACGTTCTTCAGGAAGTCCATGTAATGAAATTAAATTGCATATCTGAGATCTTATCATCTTGGCTGAAGCGAACCTTTGGGCGTTCCAAGGCCTTGTAAGGTAGTACTTTTTAACCCGCGCATGACTGGGGTATTTTCCATAACGGGAGTGACTGAGGGGGGCTCTCCAGACTCCAGAGTCCCCCTCCTATCTCCGAAACTACTTGGCCGATCGTCAAAATTCAAACGGGGTCTGATAGCCCTGAATAAACCTGTCGAACGAAACCTATTTTCTTTGACCTCGAGGTCACCGATGACGTCACAGGTCGGGTCAAAGTAAAAATTATCGGCATTTTTGCTTGTTTACAATTTAGTTTCTGGCCGCCGGCTGACACATCCGATCAGGCTCATTTTGGCTTACGCACTCCTTGATATATGGCTTAGGCCTTAGATGCCCTGATGGTACCGAACTTTTACTTCGAAATTTTCAGGTCAAGGCTAGGTCATCCTAGGTCACAAAAATTGTATATCATGTACCGGTCAGGTGATGCATGTTTTATGGTCCATTTTACTCGTAGATTTCGACAATATGTAATGTCGTTTGTGTAATTTGATGTCATATTGAGCTGAATTTACCGGAGGTCAGCCTCAGGCCACTTTCAGGTCAGAAAAGATCAAATTGGATTTTTTTTCAACAAAAAAGGTGCCTATCAGATGCAGTTTAAGCTCAGGAACACGAAGGTGCCATTTATATTGCTGTACGATGTCAAAAACGTACTAAAAAATGGTTTTGAAAAATATATAATTGTAAAATTTTGACAATAATGCAAATAACTTGGCTATTTTTGAAGATATTGGGCTAAAACTGGGTAAAATAGTTAATCAGTGTGTGTTCTATCACACATATTCCGTTTGTTGCGAAAAATTAAAAAAAAAATATATTTATGCTATTGTAAAAACATATTTTTCCACATTTTCAAAATTTCGAAAATTCGAGATAGCAGTTTGATAGCTACGTGTATTTGTAGTCTACTGATGCAAAGAAATTGGATCTAGCTTTAAAACTAAGCTCTTGAGAGCGTTTGCCGTAATTCAACATTTTGCATCAAAATCGGCCGACATGACGTCACTCTGACGTCATTTTCGGCCAAAGTGTGGCAGCTAGAAAGTTAAGATTTTAACACAAGGTGTCAGATTATTACCGCTGAAGGTACAGTCCACAGCAGAAGTAATGTGTGGTTTCAGTCATGGGTATGTTCTGCTTCTGAAGCCTAGGAACGATTAGCCAGACTGCAACGAGACTTTAAATGTAGCTTACATGTATCTTCACCCTTGCAGCTACAACTTTATCTATTGACGTCTTCTTTTCAATCAGTCCGCATTTGAAAATCGTCGGTCAAAGCCATCCGTTGAGATTGGTAAAACCACACATTACTTTAGCGGTGGGCTGTACCACAAGTTTTATGTTGATCCGTCAAACGTTTTAGAAGATATTGCTGAAAAACGGGAGGGGGGTTCTGTAGAACCCCCCTCCAGTCATGCGCGGGTTTAATAGCATGCAGAAATAAAAACAGGTTTTGACGCAGCAGCCGTTTACAGTTTTTTTTTTCGATGGAAACGCCAGGGCTGGAAAAAGTGCTTCGGTGGTTGTCGTCCGAAGGAAAACGGGCTTATTTGGTTGTCAACTCAAGATGTCAAACCCGCGCCCCGCTGAGGGTCCTTGATTTCCACAGCTTGCTGGGGGGAGGCGGGGGGGGGGGGTCAACAACTCGCTCTTTTAAGTCTGATCCTAGGTCAAGTAGTGACAAGCAGTAAACGGCATTCGAAAGAACGTCCAAAATAAGGACGAAAATATGTCATTCATTTTTTAGTTCAAGTAAAAGGTCATAGGTCACCAGATGCCATTAAAGGGAGATTATGACCTTTTCCCACTTTATTGGAGTTGGGACCGTTTTTTAGTAGAAAATGTATAAATATAATGTAAATTCATTGCATTTTTCCGAAATCACAAAATTACCATGTTTTTTTAAGTTGAAGTAGCTCAAGCGCTCCGCGCTTGGTAGTGATGGGTGAGCAAGTACTTGCAGGTTTAAGTAAAATCGGTGAGATATTTGAAAATTTTATTTTAATTGATTGCTCCCTTTATGGTCAATTCGTGAATAAAAGGTTTTCTTATACATTTGTTTTTTCGACGTGTACGAATGCTTTTAATTATTAGGTACCGGACAATACATAATTTAGTTGCAGCATTTCTCATTTTAAATAAGGAACGAATGAGAACGAAGTCTTGCTCTTTATTTTTGGAAGAATTTGGTATAAGTTATTTCATTAGTCAGTATGTCAAAAAAAAAAAATCATATATTGATACAAATACATTACCTTTCTTAGAATACCAGTGAGTCGAAATACATGTGTACCGGATGACATAAATTTCGTAGCTGCGTTCCTTCTGATTTGAATGGCCACAGTACCTACACACGTTGGTTGTAGGGTACTATGCACCTACAACCAACGCCCTACACACGACACTGACAACCAAGCTAACAACATAAACAAACGATAACATAAACAAAAACCCAAGCGTCGCTGTTTGAAACAAAAGCGCCATACACTGCAACTTTTTTATAGAGAAGGACGACGCATTTCGGTGGGTGTTTCAAGTACTGCAACTTGCAAGTACTGCTTCTTTTTTGCAAAAATAAAAATCATTTTTCACATACGAAAATGTGCTAGGAAATTTTCATATTTTATAGAAACCACAGTAAAAATAGCATGGATGTCGAATAAATTTTATTTAAGAAAAAAGGAAGCTCATTATCTCCCTTTAAATGATTTTTTTTTCGAAACACCGGCACACAACTCGGGAACTATAGAGCTACGGCGCCGCGGAAAAGATTCGATAGCCTTTTTGACCCTTTCCGGGACTCTTCGACGGTGCCACTGGTCGACTTCCACTCACCTTTGAACAAAACGTGCTCAAGTTAGTGCATGCACTTAAGTCGTGCAGAAGCCACGGACCCAGGGGCGTCGTTTTGTATAGGTGGCGAGAAACGGGAGGGGGCAGATTCTGCCCCCCTCCCCCCAGTGGGGCGCGGGTTAAAATCTGAGAGATGAGGGTGACGGGCCTGGTACGATCTATCGTGGAATGCCCCAGTAGTCAAACAAAGGTCGTATATAAGTTGTATAGATAGAAACAAGCATTGATTTAGGCACGTGTCTGGCTATCGAATATAGTGGGCCTAGGGAGCGATTAAATTTCAGAATAGTTTCGTTAACATGAACATGAAAACGTAAGAGTGCGGATAGGGTGAGGCCGAGATGTTTATGGTCTTTAACGGTAGGAATAGATTGTGGTCCAAACGTTAGAACGGGGACATTTGCTTGTTTTTTTTAGAGAAAAAGTTTGTTGTCTGGTTCGTCGCATTGAATGAAATCGCCCAGTTTAGTCCGTAATCGTAAATGGCGTCAAGATCGTGTTGCAGTCCTGTCTGTATGTCGCGTAAATTGTGTCTTGGGGCGTAAGTGGAGAGTAAGGAACAGTCATCTGCATGAAAAAGCATTTCGTTTCTTGTCTTGTCGCAAAGTCCGTTTAAGTACATTATTGCAAGAAGTGGTCCTAGCACGGATCCCTGAGGATCTCCGGCGTCAAGCGTCAGTGTTGAGGAAGTCGAATTGTTTATGGTCACATTCTTTTTTTTGTCTGTTACATAAGAATTTAACCACGTCAGTAGGTTCCCTTTGAGTCCAAAGTCTTTCTCGCATTTTGCTAAAAGTCCTGCATGCCATATTTTCTCGAAATATCTGCTTATGTCTAAGTAAATTGTCGTTAAGTCTTGTCCTTTGTCGAGAGAATGATACAGTCTGTCTGTTAAGTACATTAGTTATAAGCATCTCGTGAGAACAGTAGAACTGAGCCTTTAAGTGTTTCCCCTTTTTTCTAGATATAAGGAAGGTGAAATTCGTTGATTGGCGACAGCACCTGATGTTAGTACACATGTCTAGTGAGATCCCATATAGTTATTTTACGAATATGGTTGAGATGTGTCTCAGTTTTTTTTTTTCGTTTGTCAAATGACACGTGCCAGACCTGCGGCCGGGCCTGGGTTGCATGGCCGCCCATCGGCTTGGTGGTGGTGGACGGCTTGCCGTCGGCGCCTGACGGTGTAGTGGGCGCGCCGGTGGGACCCGGCCTACCTCGGCCGAGTAGCCCTCTTGCTCGTCCGGCGGCGGCGGCTCAGGCTCGGCGCAGGACAGTCCCACGATAGGTTTAGTCAGAGATAATGTTGTTGCTGAACTAGCAGTTAAGTTTCGCCTTGTACAGTCGTGTACAGGTTGATGGTCCCCTACTCTTTATCCACCGGGTTCCTATGGCTCAGCATTGGCAGCAGCCGCCTGGTACCGGTAGGCTGTGCCGCATGACCCGAGAGTGAAGCGGCACAGTCTACCCACGCCGTTTGACATCGGCTCGGGTCGCCGGGTGGAGCGCTTTGTAGACCAGCTGTTGCGTCAGAGCAGCGCGGGGGGGAGGGGCTCGTCTCGGTGGTTGGCGTGGGCTGGCGAGTGGTGTGGGGCGTGTTGGTGGACCATGGGGGCTGGGCGGGTGTGTGTGGTCACTTGCTGCATTGCACATTTTGCGTCGCGTAACAATTGCATTCCTATTTTTGCTAGGCACAATGCACGGAAGACCCAGCGAATATAATTTACTTTACTTGTGCATTGTGCAAAACGTGATTTGGCACGGTATCGAGGCAACCATAGGTCTTGTGCCTATGCATGATATTTAGGCAATACGTTTATGAAAACGGTAGATTGATGCTGGATGTCAATTCGTATTGCTAAATGTCGGCACGTATTAAATGAATGAATGAATGAATGAATGAATCAATCAATCAA